AGTCCGGCAATCTTACCTGCGCACAGGCTATGTCAACACGTCCGGACCTATTGACCCACGGTTCCCCGGCAACGCGCTGAGCGGCAGACCCTCGGACACAGCCCGCGGGAGGGGAATGACAATTGCCTGCGCTGGCGCCGTTCGGCCTCTTGCACAGCCTTCAACTCCAGGGCCCCCAACCCAAAACCAGGCGCTTGCTGAATAGAAATTCACCGGAAACCCAAAAACGGGGTGTGCCCCGTAGGGGTTGCGCTAGTGGTGTGGGGATAGGTATTGTTTTTGTAAAAGCTGAAGTGGAACCCATTTATTTGGAGCCAAGCTGAGCCAAAAGAACGTGAATGGTGGCTGCGTGCCATCGAGCTCCATGTCGCCTTGTTGTTCTCTTTCACCTCGTACTTCCCCGGAACTGGGAACTTCGCCTGCGCGCATGTGACTGGCTCCGGAACTGGAGCTGACAACCCAAATCTTCCGACTCGCTGCAGAACTTAGGGGAGGCAACATATTGAGTTTCAACCAGGGTTTTCACAGGAACCTGATAAACTGACCCGCCCTTTTCGAGCCCCTGGGTCTGGTTCCCACAAAGGACAAAAGTTCGCCCTTCTTGAAATCAAGTGGTACGTGAGGATTGCTTGGAACAGGGCCGAAAACAAGCTTCCTCTGATTTCCTGTTGCGGTCCCTGTGGAGGAGGGCTCTTCACCCCCAAACTCTGTTGCTTTCAAACCTTGTCGATCTGGAAGGGCCAGTGGATCCTTCCAAACCCTGAAGCCCGGAACTTGTTTAAGACAGGGTCAGAAGCTAGCACGAAATCAGCGTCTGTGAAACAAGAACGGCATCCACAGCATTTTTCTACCCTACAACAAAAAGAGGCAACGAAGCCAACAAAAGAACACAAGCCCTCGGCAAACTGCGCACTGAGTGAAACCCTTCGTCCTCGGGGTATCGAACCTCAAAGTCCTCCGGTGTGTAGCACACCTGGTTGGAACTCAACTCAACAGCGCATGTCGCCGAGGCCCTTGCAAAGAGTTCTTTGATCATTCGTAGGCTCTTCCAGCTGGGTTCATTAAAGTGACTCTCAAAATTACCCTGTAAATAGTCGCTTAAAGGAAAATTTCCCCAGCAATTTGGGACACTCCTCAAAATGCACACTTTAAGGGACTCGGCACGATCTAGCACACAACTCGGCGCACGACCCTAGTGTCGCATTGCAGCAACTGGGCACTCCACTCGCCCATAGGGAAACTTATTCTCCTCCTGCACCACCGTCAGCAGCTGAACAAATGCATGACCTGGGCGACCAAAAGCCAAGACAAATGCACCTGAACCCATGCTACAAACTGGAACCCTTCTGGCCTCTAGAGCTAGAGGTGCACAGAAAATAACCACCATTCTCTTGGGGACCACTCCCCAAAACCACTGTGCTGGCACGCGCTCGAGGCTTGCGGGGGTTCAATGCCCTACTGGGCACCAGGCTCCAGAGGTATCTTGTATGATCAGTGGCAACTGCGACCACGTGATAGGCCAAGGCCTGGCAGAAGTCTGCCAATTCTTGGGCGACTAGGGGCCCGACGCACGGCCACAAGCACACATCATGTGCACACACAAACACAAACACACGCGATGCCTACAGAATTGCGGCGCGCCCACAAACACACGCACGCCTACACATCCACACGCAATTTGCATATCTACACGCTACGCGTGTGATCTGAAACGTTGCAAGTTCAGCCGCCCAGGCCGGAATGAGAGTGAAACCAGCCCATGGACAACACCCACACGATAGCCAACATATGGCCATGGGTCAAAAGCCGGTACCCCCTGTGAACATCCCAATCCCCACTAAAACAAACTAAAATGGGTGGCGCACCTGCCCCACAATGGTACCATTGGTTTTGACCCACAGCCATATTCTGGGCTCCTTGTGACTCCTCCGAGTCGTGGCTATGCCGATAGACGCGGCCGTCCAGGGTGCCACTGCCTTAGGCCCTCGCCTTCTCAAAGTCCGGCACGCGGTGAAAGAGCTTGCGGGCAGCATCCATGTTCAACCAGGCCATGTCCATCTTCTGGCCTCAGTAGTTTGAATGTCCAATCACGTAGTCAAAGAAGGTGCTTGTGGACCATGACATCAAAGCTCCAGGTGGATTTTGTGGCATGCCCCCTCTGAAAGAACGAACTCATCTGTGAACATGTGCCTTAGCCCAGGCTTCCAAGTCTCCCATGGCAAAACAATGCTTTCATTGCTCACTGTTGCACCCAAAAGGCTCACCGGGAAATGAGAGGTCAAGCTTGTGCATGGGAAATGTTACCAGGATTGAACCAAAAAGGTTGGAAGTGAGATTCAATTCCTTGCATATTTGACATGTAAAATGCGATGGCATGAACCTAGCTGGCCCCGGTGCGTTCGCTGCTGTGGGCTTTGGTCTTGTTGGAAAGGATAACTAAGGTCGTGGTCCCTGCATCAGAAATAGGTCGCCGACCTTCGGCTAAGAAGCGAACCTCACGGCGACGCAGGCGAGGTGATCGGAACACGACAAAGTCCATGAATCCAAGGGCCCTTCATCCTTTAATGAGGCAACCCAGAAACACACAGATGCCCAGTGGCCATGAGAAAAAAGGGGCATCCTTTTTTGGCTGGTTGAGTTGAAAGGGGAGCTCTTGCAAGATAAAGGAAGAGAGGGCGCCACTGGACAACTGGAAAAAAACCACTTTTGCAGGGTCATTTGAACCCTGCCGCGCGCCGAAACGTGCATGGCGCGGAACATACCGCCAATCGCGGACCTTTCACAGCTCGGTCGCCCGCATCTAATGCTGGCCGAAGGCTTGAGCAGGCTTAGTGCCCTCTGGTCAAAATCTACAGGGCCCAACAAAACAGAAAACAGGCAGCTCATACAAATGCCCGGCGGGGGGGCGGGGACATCATGCACTTTGCATAAAGGCCCCACGCAGCACCATTGCCAAATTTTGAGCAAACCTTCCCTGCAGGAAGGGAGAACTCGAATCAACAACCGACAAGAAAACAAACATGGATATTACATATAGAAGCATTCTTGGCGGTGCGTCCTTCCCTCAGGTCTCGTGCCTGAACCGGGCATTGCAGTGGCCTCTGTTGGTTGCAAGTCAGACGTATCAACATGCAAGTTCTTTTGCTGGCCCCCGAGAAAAAACAAGATATCAACGATTCAAGTCTATGCCTTGCTCTTCAACTGTCGCATGTACCTGGGCACCGGTGCCCCTCCAGTTGCTCCCGTGGTTCCAGTCGCCGCAGACTTTGCCTTTGGCGCCGCCTTTGGGGCTGTCTTCGGAGCACCTGGAGCCGGCGCCGCTTTGTAGGCACTTGAAGACACCTGCGGCCGGTGCACTCCTGTCTTCGTGCCGGGCGCCGGCGTGAAGGACCCTGCCTCACAGTTTGGCCGGGCGACATGACCGAACGCCTACCGACCTACGTGCCTATCTCGGTCGACAGCGGCCGTCGGTTGTCTTCGGCTAGACCCCCCCGCCTCCCAGCCTCCCGGCCACCCAGCCTCCTTGCCCCCGGCACCCCAGCCTGCAGCAACGGTGCCTCGTAGCCGTCACGGCGGCTGTCACGGAACTTCTGCGAGGCAGCGGCGGCAGAGTTGGCCGGCGCCTTGAAGTTGCCAGTGGTGCCCTCAGCCGTGCGCCGGCGGATGCCGGTGCCCTGGCAGGTGTGCAAGAAACCCTGCCCAAACGCACTGCTACACCCCCGGACACACTGCTACAACCCCACCCCTCTTGCCAACACACCAAACATACCACAGCCCACAGGACATAGGCCACACACACACACACCACATTGCCATCCGTATCCTGCCTCCCAGGCGGGTAGCGGCTCACCCCTCATGATCTTCTGGACGCGGCGCACCTTGCCGGTGGTGAGGTTGGTCTGGGTCCCGCACTTGTCGCTTTCAAAGTGGACCTCGAAGTCGTAGCGCCCCAGCCGGTATTTCATGGGCAGGTCGGTGTTGCCATAGTAAGGCTCGTTGCCCGGCATCCAGGCACTCCAGCCCTTCTCCAGTTCGATCATCCACCGGTAGTCTCCCTCATACTCCTTGGTGCACTTGGCGCTGGTGGCCAGGAAGTAGCAGGTCGGTAAGTTGTCCTCGTGGGCGCGACATGTCCCACAGGGTCCACCATGATTCGTTGCATGGGGGCCCAGCCGTTAAACATCTTGCACGGGCAGGTTAACATATGCGCCAGCATGTACAACACAGGCAGCCATGCATCCCGTCGGCCATTGCGCAATTAGCAGTGCATTTGCAAATTCCCATAGTCAGACGGTCTCACGTCGCCCCTAAATCCTGAAACCTCAAACAACATGCTCCACAGCCGGGCGATGCCGGCCTTCTTGGGAGCTGCAGGCGCCACTTCAACCGGGGCGACCTCAACCGACTGGGGAACCTCGGCCGGAGCCTCGGCCTCTGCCTCCGGCTGGGGGCTCTCAGCTTCCTCGACCTGTGCCACCTCTGCCACGAAACCCTCAGCTGCCATGGCTCGAGTGAGGTGTGGACAGTTGATTTCCTGCGGTTCAAAGAGAGCCTGGGCTTCCGCACGTGATAAGGCTGGCATCGAGTCACTCAGGCCTGCCTAGGATGCCTCTAGGAACCTGCATCTGACATTCAATGCACGTTGGTCACAATATCATTGCACCTGGAGCCCACATCAATCGACCCCGGGCGGTTCACAGCTCGGTCGCCCGCATCTAATGCTGGCCGAAGGACATCGGAACGCCTGAGCAGGCTTTGGTAAGCCTCAGCAGGCTTAGTGCCCTCTGTTCAAAATCTACAGGGCCCAACAAAACAGAAAACAGGCAGCTCATACAAATGCCCGGCGGGGGGGCGGGGACATCATGCACTTTGCATAAAGGCCCCACACAGCACCATTGCCAAATTTTGAGCAAACCTTCCCTGCAGGAAGGGAGAACTCGAATCAACAACCGACAAGAAAACAAACATGGATATTACATATAGAAGCATTCTTGGCGGTGCGTCCTTCCCTCAGGTCTCGTGCCTGAACCGGGCATTGCAGTGGCCTCTGTTGGTTGCAAGTCAGACGTATCAACATGCAAGTTCTTTTGCTGGCCCCCGAGAAAAAACAAGATATCAACGATTCAAGTCTATGCCTTGCTCTTCAACTGTCGCATGTACCTGGGCACCGGTGCCCCTCCAGTTGCTCCCGTGGTTCCAGTCGCCGCAGGCTTTGCCTTTGGCGCCGCCTTTGGGGCTGTCTTCGGAGCACCTGGAGCCGGCGCCGCTTTGTAGGCACTTGAAGACACCTGCGGCCGGTGCACTCCTGTCTTCGTGCCGGGCGCCGGCGTGAAGGACCCTGCCTCACAGTTTGGCCGGGCGACGTGACCAAACGCCTACCGACCTACGTGCCTATCTCGGTCGACGGCGGCTGTCGGTTGTCTTCGGCTGGACCCCCCCGCCTCCCAGCCTCCCGGCCACCCAGCCTTCTTGGCCCCTGGTACCCCAGCCTGCAGCAACGGTGCCTCGTAGCCGTCGCGGCGGCTGTCACGGAACTTCTGCGAGGCAGCGGCGGCAGAGTTGGCCGGCGCCTTGAAGTTGCCAGTGGTGCCCTCAGCCGTGCGCCGGCGGATGCCGGTGCCCTGGCAGGCGTGCCCGCTTGGGCAAAACACCCTGCCCAAACACACTGCCGTCACTGCTACATCCCGACCCCATCCCACCCCTCTTGCCAAAACGCCAAACATACCACTGCCACCAGGACAACATAGGCCATTGATGACGCAACAAACCTGGCAGACGTAGAAAGACCTTCTTTGCACACACCCCGTTGCCCTCCACATCCTGCCTCCCAGGCGGGTAGCGGCTCACCCCTCATGATCTTCTGGACGCGGCGCACCTTGCCGGTGGTGAGGTTGGTCTGGGTGCCGGACTTGTCGCTTTCAAAGTGGACCTCGAAGTCGTAGCGCCCCAGCCGGTATTTCATGGGCAGGTCGGTGTTGCCGTAGTAAGGCTCGTTGCCCGGCATCCAGGCACTCCAGCCCTTCTCCAGTTCGATCATCCACCGGTAGTCTCCCTCATACTCCTTGGTGCACTTGGCGCTGGTGGCCAGGAAGTAGCAGGTCGGCAAGTTGTCCTCGTGGTCGCAACATGTCCCACAGGGTCCACCATGATTCGTTGCGTGGGGACACCCCCCCCTTCAGTTTAACATCTCACAGTCAGATGGTCTCACGTCGCCCCTAAATCCTGAAACCTCAAACAACATGCTCCACAGCCGGGCGATGCCGTCCTTCTTGGGAGCTGCAGGCGCCACTTCAACCGGGGCGACCTCAACCGACTGGGGAACCTCGGCCGGAGCCTCAACCTCTGCCTCCGGCTGGGGGCTCTCAGCCTCCTCGACCTGTGCCACCTCTGCCACGAAACCCTCAGCTGCCATGGCTCGAGTGAGGTGCGGACAGTTGATTTCCTGCGGTTCAAAGAGAGCCTGGGCTTCCGCACGTGATAAGGCTGGCATCGAGTCACTCAGGCCTGCCTCGGATGCCTCTAGGAACCTGCATCTGACATTCAATGCACGTTGGTCACAATATCATTGCACCTGGAGCCCACATCAATCGACCCCGGGCGTTTCACAGCTCGGTCGCCCGCATCTAATGCTGGCCGAAGGACATCGGAACGCCTGAGCAGGCTTTGGTAAGCCTCAGCAGGCTTGGTGCCCTCTGGTCAAAATCTACAGGGCCCAACAAAACAGAAAACAGGCAGCTCATACAAATGCCCGGCGGGGGGGCGGGGACATCATGCACTTTGCATGAAGGCCCCACGCAGCACCATTGCCAAATTTTGAGCAAACCTTCCCTGCAGGAAGGGAGAACTCGAATCAACAACCGACAAGAAAACAAACATGGATATTACAGATAGAAGCATTCTTGGCGGTGCGTCCTTCCCTCAGGTCTCGTGCCTGAACCGGGCATTGCAGTGGCCTCTATGTGACAAACGTTGGTTGCAAGTCAGACGTATCAACATGCAAGTTCTTTTGCTGGCCCCCGAGAAAAAACAAGATATCAACGATTCAAGTCTATGCCTTGCTCTTCAACTGTCGCATGTACCTGGGCACCGGTGCCCCTCCAGTTGCTCCTGTGTTTCCAGTCGCCGCAGACTTTGCCTTTGGCGCCGCCTTTGGGGCTGTCTTCGGAGCACCTGGAGCCGGCGCCGCTTTGTAGGCACTTGAAGACACCTGCGGCCGGTGCACTCCCGTCTTCGTGCCGGGTGCCGGCGTGAAGGACCCTGCCTCACAGTTTGACCAAACGCCTACCGACCTACGTGCCTATCTCGGTCGACAGCGGCCGTCGGTTGTCTTCGGCTAGACCCCCCCGCCTCCCAGCCTCCCGGCCACCCAGCCTTCTTGGCCCCTGGTACCCCAGCCTGCAGCAACGGTGCCTCGTAGCCGTCGCGGCGGCTGTCACGGAACTTCTGCGAGGCAGCGGCGGCAGAGTTGGCCGGCGCCTTGAAGTTGCCAGTGGTGCCCTCAGCCGTGCGCCGGCGGATGCCGGTGCCCTGGCAGGCGTGCCCGCTTGGGCAAAACACCCTGCCCAAACACACTGCCGTCACTGCTACATCCCGACCCCATCCCACCCCTCTTGCCAAAACGCCAAACATACCACTGCCACCAGGACAACATAGGCCATTGATGACGCAACAAACCTGGCAGACGTAGAAAGACCTTCTTTGCACACACCACGTTGCCCTCCGCATCCTGCCTCCCAGGCGGGTAGCGGCTCACCCCTCATGATCTTCTGGACGCGGCGCACCTTGCCGGTGGTGAGGTTGGTCTGGGTGCCGGACTTGTCGCTTTCAAAGTGGACCTCGAAGTCGTAGCGCCCCAGCCGGTATTTCATGGGCAGGTCGGTGTTGCCGTAGTAAGGCTCGTTGCCCGGCATCCAGGCACTCCAGCCCTTCTCCAGTTCGATCATCCACCGGTAGTCTCCCTCATACTCCTTGGTGCACTTGGCGCTGGTGGCCAGGAAGTAGCAGGTCGGCAAGTTGTCCTCGTGGTCGCAACATGTCCCACAGGGTCCACCATGATTCGTTGCGTGGGGACACCCCCCCCTTCAGTTTAACATCTCACAGTCAGATGGTCTCACGTCGCCCCTAAATCCTGAAACCTCAAACAACATGCTCCACAGTCCGGCGATGCCGTCCTTCTTGGGAGCTGCAGGCGCCACTTCAACCGGGGCGACCTCAACCGACTGGGGAACCTCGGCCGGAGCCTCAACCTCTGCCTCCGGCTGGGGGCTCTCAGCCTCCTCGACCTGCGCCACCTCTGCCACGAAACCCTCAGCTGCCATGGCTCGAGTGAGGTGCGGACAGTTGATTTCCTGCGGTTCAAAGAGAGCCTGGGCTTCCGCACGTGATAAGGCTGGCATCGAGTCACTCAGGCCTGCCTCGGATGCCTCTAGGAACCTGCATCTGACATTCAATGCACGTTGGTCACAATATCATTGCACCTGGAGCCCACATCAATCGACCCCGGGCGTTTCACAGCTCGGTCACCCGCATCTAATGCTGGCCGAAGGACATCGGAACGCCTGAGCAGGCTTTGGTAAGCCTCAGCAGGCTTGGTGCCCTCTGGTCAAAATCTACAGGGCCCAACAAAACAGAAAACAGGCAGCTCATACAAATGCCCGGCGGGGGGGGCGGGGACATCATGCACTTTGCATGAAGGCCCCACGCAGCACCATTGCCAAATTTTGAGCAAACCTTCCCTGCAGGAAGGGAGAACTCGAATCAACAACCGACAAGAAAACAAACATGGATATTACAGATAGAAGCATTCTTGGCGGTGCGTCCTTCCCTCAGGTCTCGTGCCTGAACCGGGCATTGCAGTGGCCTCTATGTGACAAACGTTGGTTGCAAGTCAGACGTATCAACATGCAAGTTCTTTTGCTGGCCCCCGAGAAAAAACAAGATATCAACGATTCAAGTCTATGCCTTGCTCTTCAACTGTCGCATGTACCTGGGCACCGGTGCCCCTCCAGTTGCTCCTGTGTTTCCAGTCGCCGCAGACTTTGCCTTTGGCGCCGCCTTTGGGGCTGTCTTCGGAGCACCTGGAGCCGGCGCCGCTTTGTAGGCACTTGAAGACACCTGCGGCCGGTGCACTCCCGTCTTCGTGCCGGGTGCCGGCGTGAAGGACCCTGCCTCACAGTTTGGCCGGGCGACGTGACCAAACGCCTACCGACCTACGTGCCTATCTCGGTCGACGGCGGCTGTCGGTTGTCTTCGGCTAGACCCCCCCGCCTCCCAGCCTCCCGGCCACCCAGCCTTCTTGGCCCCTGGTACCCCAGCCTGCAGCAACGGTGCCTCGTAGCCGTCGCGGCGGCTGTCACGGAACTTCTGCGAGGCAGCGGCGGCAGAGTTGGCCGGCGCCTTGAAGTTGCCAGTGGTGCCCTCAGCCGTGCGCCGGCGGATGCCGGTGCCCTGGCAGGCGTGCCCGCTTGGGCAAAACACCCTGCCCAAACACACTGCCGTCACTGCTACATCCCGACCCCATCCCACCCCTCTTGCCAAAACGCCAAACATACCACTGCCACCAGGACAACATAGGCCATTGATGACGCAACAAACCTGGCAGACGTAGAAAGACCTTCTTTGCACACACCACGTTGCCCTCCACATCCTGCCTCCCAGGCGGGTAGTGGCTCACCCCTCATGATCTTCTGGACGCGGCGCACCTTGCCGGTGGTGAGGTTGGTCTGGGTGCCGGACTTGTCGCTTTCAAAGTGGACCTCGAAGTCGTAGCGCCCCAGCCGGTATTTCATGGGCAGGTCGGTGTTGCCGTAGTAAGGCTCGTTGCCCGGCATCCAGGCACTCCAGCCCTTCTCCAGTTCGATCATCCACCGGTAGTCTCCCTCATACTCCTTGGTGCACTTGGCGCTGGTGGCCAGGAAGTAGCAGGTCGGCAAGTTGTCCTCGTGGTCGCAACATGTCCCACAGGTTCCACCATGATTCGTTGCATGGGGACCCCCCCTTCAGTTTAACATCTCACAGTCAGGTAGATGGTCTCACGTCGCCCCTAAATCCTGAAACCTCAAACAACATGCTCCACAGTCCGGCGATGCCGTCCTTCTTGGGAGCTGCAGGCGCCACTTCAACCGGGGCGACCTCAACCGACTGGGGAACCTCGGCCGGAGCCTCAACCTCTGCCTCCGGCTGGGCGCTCTCAGCTTCCTCGACCTGTGCCACCTCTGCCACGAAACCCTCAGCTGCCATGGCTAGAGTGAGGTGCGGAAGGTTGAATGTGCGGAGAACTGAGGGCAGCGTGGGGCTGTCAGCTGCGAAGATCGTGTTCATATGTGCCGCTTTCAAAGCAACTGTTTACCGGCGCGACTACTTTCAGCATGAACACATGGCTCTATCCGCCTCGTTCACAAAGCTGCCCTTGTAACACCAGGCCTGGCCAACACAGTCTCCTCCGACACCCTCGCTTCTGCGCCACTTTCGGGGCAAGGCCCACTTGCGATCGTGATCCCAGCCAGCCAGTCGATGGTACAAATGGAACCCGAATCACTTTCCCTGCCAAAGATCCTTCAGGAAGGCAACTGATCATTGCAGGCAAGCTTTTCCAGGTCGGTGCAAAACAAAAGCCCGTCTTCGGGCGCGTGATGACCCCTGGCCTGCCAGCCAATGAGGCCACTGAAATTCGACCCATTCCCAGCCAAAAGAAGAGGCCTGACCCGATTGATCAATGGACAGGTCATGCCAACCCCAAGACAGGCAAACAGATGAGGGAGGACCCTGGCAGGTCCATGCCGCAATGCCCCGCCTTCTGGCTGTTCGGGACAAAGGCCTTGTACCTCATGCACGTCCAAATGAATTGGACCTTTGGGTCTCTTGAGTTCTTTTTGGGATTGGGGCTCCCATCGTGACACATTAACCAGTGGGACTCAGGTTGAGCATGCCCTGGGCCCTCATGCTGTTTGGCGCGCTGGCCAATGCCCACAGATCCGCTACAATGCTTGGCTTCCTTTGCACCGTGAGCGGGTTCATCCAAAGCAACGCTCCAAACTTGAGTGTGGTTCTATCAGCACTGCAACACTGGACTGGATAAGCTCAAAACTTGGAACGCCACTCGGCGGAGTGTGTTTGCATTGCCTTTTCAAAGCCAAGTTTCTATCTTTGATAAACTCTCCCAGCCCAACAAACAAACATTCCCAAGTCATGACTTGATCCCTCTGATATTCCCCCGAAAAAGGAAAAACAATTTCGGCCATTTTCTCCCGTGGCTCCCTGCCACACATCTCCACCAGGACGGGGGGCGCCTGCGGCAACAAGAGCCACCAGCTGGCGAGAAACCCGGGCTTCGACCGTTTCGGTGCTATCCGGCACATCGCTGCCCTAGGGCTCGGTTCACGTCCAAAAAGGACATCGTGGACACTGGTTGCAACTTGTGCTTGCTTCTGTCCCTTGTCCTTGGTAAGCTCCGATCCAAACCAATATTAAAACACTGTAGGAACCGTTGATTACTTCAAGAGTTTCATCAAATGTTGGGCGATCATTGTTTCATGGGGGGAAAGCACCAAACAGGGAAAACGGTGTCGCCTAACAGTGCTGCTACATCTTCGAGATGTGGTATGTCTGTGCATGCGGTTTGCGTCCAAACGTTTTGTATGTTGAAATCTCCAGACCCCAGGAAATGTTGTTGTCGTAGTCAGAAGCCCAGCTGCAAAAAGAGTGCTTTTCAACAGGAGCTATCCAAAATGACTTGGATCATATTGTCATTGAGAGCTTTCGGAAAGCTGGCGCAGGCCATATACGGTCGGTTCAATGTGGCTAGGTGGACCGAACTGGCATCTCTACTTTACCACCCTCAAAGTCACCAGAAGTTGTAGATGTT